ATGGCCTTCACCTATCGAGAATTTTCTTGAATTATTTCTTTGAAAAGTTTCTCCTCCCTACCGTATTTCTTTCCTTTATTTCTATAATTCTTATTATTTAGATACTTCCTGAGCTATTTCTCTTTATCTCCCATTTTCAAACTCTCTTTCTTTTGTTCTACCATGTGAGATACTTTCCTAACTTTATCTTCCATACATTTTTTGAATACTTAAAAATTTTCCCATTATATCAATAAATTTTCTTGTGCTATAAATGTGCTTTTTTTTAAAAAAATATTTGTTTTCATATTTTATGGGTTTAGTATCTTTTCTTGTCTCTCTGAGGATAGTAATTACATGTTTTTTTCAGGTTTTCTCTCATTTGTTTTATATTGCTTTCATTTATTTTGAGTTCCTCACTTATTGCATTAGTTTAGTTTGGTTTCTGCTTCTATGATAGGGCGTTTCTTCAAATGTCTGGGTTCTTGATTGTTCATTTTGAAAAATAAGGCAATATAATGTTGGTTGGAAACTAGGAATTTGGGGACGACAGGAACAGGTATCTGGTTATTGTATAGGGAGACCACCAAATTTTATATATTTTCTCATAAACATCCTCTAATCTTTTGCCTTAGAGGGTAAGTCTAGCTTACATAAGAAAAGGTTAGGGGAAGAGGTTCTACTCTTTAGTATATAGATGTTTGCTTAAACTTCCTCCCCCGTGCCATCTCCCTCCTCTCCAACCTTCTCTATACCTATGGTCTGAGACAAGAGACTTTTTGATAAATATTCTCTAGAGAGTAAATTTCCAGTCATATGGCAGAATTGGAAAGGGGCTCAAGGGTCAAACTCCTCTTATAAAGATTTTCCTCCTATTCCAGGAACGCTGTTGCCATTAGCTTTTTTAGTTCCCTCTTTTTCTAATCATCATTCTCTTTGTTCTTAACTCAATCATCACTTAGTCATTTCTTTCCAAGCTTCTGAAATTGTGTTTCTATCACTTACTGGGGGTCATCCCTTGTTAGTTCTTTTTATCCATTACTAGGTATATATCCTAAAAAAGTGAAAGCCATGACAAGAACAGACATATGCGCGCCCATGTTCATTGTAGCACTATTTACAATAGCCAAAAGATGGAAAAAACCTAGGTGTCCATTAACTGAGGAATTGGATAACCAAACTTTGGTACATACACACAATGGAATACTGTGCAACCTTAAAGGATAACCTAGAATCTGCAAAACACTGAATAATGTGGATGAACTTGGAGGATATTATGCTGAGTGAAATAAGTCAATCACAGAGGGACAAATATTACTTTTTACCATTACTGTAAAAATGAAGGAAATGTTTCTATATGGAAGGAAATTTTCTTTGTTGGTTACCAGGAGTGGGAGGGTAGGGTAGGGAACACTGTTAGATAGAAAAAGATAAGTATTGATTTGGGTGAAGAGAAGGGCAATGTACCAAATGTGAGTGATCAACATGGTGGCATTGAGGAAGAGGAGGACATAGAGAGGTACATGGGAGGTACAGACAACAAAGATGAACCCTTTTGCACATACAGCACTGCGTTGTCAGTGAAGGAAAACATGGGTATATGGGTGGATAGATGGGTGGACAGGCTGAACTATTAGGTATGTCTATGAAATGGGGAGTGTGTCCAAGAACATGTATAGGGTTGGCAGACAATGGTTCTATGAGTGTATTGGTATGTTCTGTAAGAATTCCTAGGGGTATAGTAGAGCTGATGAGGGACAAGATTGTAGTCACTTCTTGGTCACAGCCAGCTACCTAGAGGGAGCGAGTAGTTGAACCTGTGGGCTCGGGACCTTAGTCACAGGGGGCATCAAGCTCAATTGGCATAACAAACTGCACAAAGCATTGTTCCACCTCCTACTTTGGTGAGTAGCGACTGGGATCTTAAAAGCTTGCAATCAGCCATCTAGATGCAACGATGGGTCGGTCTCTCCACGTCCAGAGCAAAGTAGAATGAAGAAAACCAAAGATTCATGGAAACAGTCCTTGTGACTGGAACACCATGTGATCCTCAGCCTATATGACTATGAGACCAGAAGAACTAGCTCGACTACCACTGTCAACCACTAGGAGGGAGATCTATGTAGGAGATCCTGCATAGAGAGGGAGAACAATGTGGAACAAAACTCAAAATTATTTCGGGGGAGGAAAAAAAAGGGGACCAGGTTTGCTGTCTGATAGAGCCTGAACCACTGAAACTATGGCCCCTAGCTGCCCTTCAGGTCTGGAATTGAACCCACACCAGTGGCCAAACAAAAGACAAGCCTAGGAGTTGAACATATACTTGAGGTAGATCCACTCCTTGGAGAGAACAATTATGGGAGAAAGAGGAGCTATTTATGCACAGGGAGATAGCTCAGGGGCAGGGGTGCATGGAGGGATGAACATAGGGAAGAGGTGATTGTTGGGAGGAAGTGGGAAGGGATGAATTGTGGTGAATTGTGGTCAATGTCATGAGACAAAGTGTGTGTGAACTGCTGTATGGGAAATGAATTTGCTCTGTAAATTTTCACCCAAATCACAAAAAAATTAAAATAAAATAAAATAAAAAATGAAAAAAATAAATGGTTGCAGCAGTATATTGACAGAGAACTTCCAGAAATGCAAGCTAGATTCAGAAGAGGATGTGGAAAAAGGAAAATCATTGCTGATGTCAGATGGATCTTGGCTGAAAGTGAGAATACAAGAAAGATGTTTACTTGTGTTTTATTGACTGTACAAAAGTATTTGACTGTGTAGATCATAACAAATGATGGATAACATTGAGAAGAATGGGAATTCCAAAACACTTAATTGTGCTCATGAGGAACCTGTACATAGACCAGGAGGCTGTTCGAACAGAACAAGGGGATAGTGCATGGTATAAAATCAGGAAGGGAGTGCATCACAGTTGTGCCCTTTCACCACACTTATTCAATCTGTATGCTGAGCACATAATCCAAGAAGCTGGATTATATGAAGAAGAGCATGGCATCAGGATTGGAGGATGACTCATTAACAACCTGAGATATGCAGATGACACAAGTTTGCTTGCTGAAAGTGAAGATGACTCAAAGCCCTTACTAATGAAGATTAAAGAGTACACTCTGAAGAAGTATGGATTACACCTCAACATAAAGAAAGTGAAAATCCTCATAACTGGACCAATAAGTAGCATCATGATAAATGGAGAAAAGATTGAAGCTGTCAAAGATTTCATATAACTAGGTTCTACAATCAACACCAATAGAAATAGCAATCCAGAAATCAGACATGTATTGCACTGGGCAAATCTGCTGCCAAAGACGTCTTTAAAGTGCTGAAGAGCAAAGATGTCTCTTCCAAGACCAAGGTGCACCTAACCCAAGCCATGGTGTTTTCAATCACCTCATAGGCATGTAAAAGCTGGACAATGAATAAGGAAGACTGAAGAAGAGTTGTTGCTTTTGACTTGTGGTGTTAGTGAAGAATATTGAAAGTCCCATGAACTGCCAGAAGAACTGACAGATCTGTCCAGGAAGAAGTACAGACTAGAATGCTCCTTGGAAGTGAGAATGGCCAGATTTTGTCTCACCTACTTTAGTCATGTTGTCCGAAGGACCATTCCCTGCAGAAGGATATCATGCTTGGTAAAGGGGAGGGTCAGTGAAAAAAGGGAAGGCCCTCAGTGAGATGGATTGATACAGTGGCTACAGATGAGCTCAGGTATAGAAAGTATTGTGAAGCTGGCGCAGGACCGGGTAGTGTTTTGTTCTCTTGTACACAGGGTTGCTGTGAGTTGGAGCCAACTTGATGGCACCTAATAACAACAACAAAAACAACATTCTTATGTGATGCATTTATGTAATTTCCACTTTGTTGTCAAGATCTGTCATGTAAAGAAAAACTATCATAGCCTTTTGTTTTGCTGAAATTATTTCTTTAATATAAATTTAAAGGTGTGGAATTTTAATAAGGAATATGTACTCTGTTACATGTAGCCACATTATTTTCAAAAATGACTTCTGGCAGTAAGAAATGTCACTAATGTGATATGCAAATTAGGCAATATTTCACAACTTGTTTAAAATGTCTAGTTACATTTCTTTTTAAAACTTTGTTTATATTTATAAATCTTGAAAAGCAGAATAAAATAATACTAACCACAAGTCAAACATGACTTGATGGCAAACACCACCACCATCATCAACAACCATTTAATAGAAGTGCTTCCCATATTTCTGAAGAATTACAAGAAAATTCAAAAAACGAGTAATTAATCCACATACTGATTAATTCTGAGTTTGAGGTTTTTCTTTGCCTATCTATGAATAATCTGTGAACTAGTGAGGAACATGAAAAAAGGCAAGAAAGGGATATTATCCTCAATCTTATAAAATGTATGTCTCTGTAAAAATAAAAATATTAATTTTGGGAAGAAGTTAAAGCAGTTACCAAATGATTCGCTTTAATGACTCATCCTTTGCCTAGAGATACCAGAGCTTCCTCCTTTGCCTAGAGAAGTAGCTTAATGCTGTGGGCTTTGAAAGCCAGTTTTGTGTAATTTTTTCATGCTTTTTTTCCCTGAGAGTGTCACTTTTGTTCCTATGTTTGACATTCCAAGTTTCCTTGCATGGGGTAAGGGTTCTTAATGACAGCGTTTAGTCCTTATGCCTAAAAGGGACTGGATGGGATTTTAGGAACCAGGCATTACATAAAATGGGGTAATGGGGTTAGGGTTTTCTAAACAAAGCATTTTTTGCTTCCATCACTAGCTAAAACACTGGAAAGAGATGTGCAAAGACTGAGAAAGACAAGAGAATCGGGTCTTCCATTTTCCAAACCTAAATGGAAGTTCCCTGTTCCTTTCCAACTGTCTCCTGAGAGGATTGAGCAAAGCCCATCAAGTCTTTTCTAAGTCTTCCTCTTGGGGGTTTCAAGTGACATCCTTCAAGGGAGTACCGCCTACAGTATGAACACTAATGATGTTTTGAGAACTAATTATGTTTTATTCCTTTTGACAGGGTTTGCATGGACAACCTGGCAAACAGGGTTACCAAGGAGAGCTTGGGTATCCAGGCCCACAGGTTGTAGCAGTCAACTTGGTTTTAGTGCTAAAGGATTTTTGTTGGAAATTTTAACTTAAATTCGTACAGGTCATACTTTGATAGGGATTTAATGTAAGTCAAAATGGCATTGAATCCTTCCCTTCTAGGGGCTCCCAAAGCCAAATGTACAGCCCCCATTCAGGGCAGGTATAAAACCACACAGCTAATATTTAATGAGCTCTGACTACACCCTAGATACTATAAATACTTTCCTTGAATTAACTCATTTAATCTTTCAACAACTCTAAGAGAAAGGAGATTTTATTATCCACCTTTTACATAGGGGGAATGGAGAGATGGAAAAGTTAATTAAATTGACCAAGGTCATGTAACTAGTAAGAGATAAAGTTGATTTCAAACTCAAGTAGTCTAGCTTTAAAGTCTGTGCTCTTAATTATTTAAATTATTCAAAAGGTATTTAATTAATTAAAATTGTACTTTAGTTGGCAGGAAAAATCATCAGCAAAGTGTTTATTGAGTGTCAACTATACACATGACCTGCTGCTAAACTTGGGACATTTAGATCATTAAGGCAAGAGTCTTTCCCTGAAGGAGTCCAGTCTAGTGGGTGTTATAAACTATTTAGCAATAATTGAAATTTAAACTTACAACCAATTCTTTTGGAATCCTCTAAGCATAACCCAAATCTGTCTTCTGTAAGCCCTTCTGAACCACTTTATTCTTCTTTCAAAAGTCATGTTGGGAACCCATGAGCAAGGGAATTGATAAGATCTCTCCTTAATTCTCATTTGCCCACTGGTATGTGGGCAAGATGGTCTATTTAAAAAGATGATTGTCAGTATCTTCTCCAGGAGAACAGAAGCTATGATCAATGCTTCTAATAGGGAAGCATTTCTGAGAAAAGTTGGAGAAAAATGAAAGTGAAAAAAGTCAGTAAAGTAAAAGGAATTTGGGAGGAAATCAGCAACTCCCTAGCAATGTGCCCAGTGACACCAGGCCACTTAAATGTACCTTTGGTTCTTGATAAAATTATAAATATGCTCTTTTGTTCTCAGCCCTTGAATGTGCAAGGAAAGGATTGATTTTTCAAAGGAGATCAATAGTCTAGCAGTCCCTCCCATCCCCATTTTAGGATTTAAAATAAATTGGGTGAATTAAAATATAAAAAAGTTATTCTCAAACTTTAGTGTTCATCCGATTCACCTGGGGAGATTGCTAAACAAAAATCCAGATGCTGAGTACTCATACTCTTGTGCTTCAGCTTTAGTGAAAGTGGAGCAAATGTACTGCAGTCCTTCAGAGTACACAGGCTGCTTGACTCAGGCTTGATAAATGAGGTGGGGATGGGCCAGAGCACCTAACAACAGCATCTAAGATAATTTTGTGGTTGCGTGGAATATAAGTGGTTTTGTAAAAAATTGTTTAATTTTAATTTCATTTTTGGATCAGGGACCAGGAGGAAGACAAGGAATACCAGGAGTTTTGGGAGAAAAAGGCTTACTGGGTGCTCAGGTAGGCCTGAGAAGTAAACAGCTACCACACAGTTGCTTGTTAACAACATCCAGCTTATACCCCTGGGTGTTCTTGGGCAAATAACATAAAGTTACCTTGTTTGTTCTGAGATTTGTGACTCTCAGGAATACCTACCAAATTACTAATTCAATGAAGTGAATATTGACCACCAGCTATATACCCTGTTCTACTCTAGGTATATTGTGGGAATAGAGTGACCCATGACATACAGGTTTGAGACTCAAGAGTGTGTAACACAAGCTCATAATTCTCTGTGGTCCAAGACTAAAATTAGTAAAAGGCATGGTAAGTATCTCATTTATTCATCACAAATATATAAGGAAGGGTTACTAAACCATTGTTTTAGTTAATCCCTCCTCAGAGAGATTAGATTACTGGTCATCCAGGTAATAAGTGCTCAACAAGACCCCTGACTCAGGTCTTTCATATCTGTTCTTCTCCACCACCTAATACCTTGGAGCTTCACAATTTGAGACAGATGATCAGGAGGAACTTCCTGAAGAAAGGACGACTGGAGATAGCTTAGGAATTGAGTTGAATGATCTGAGTCAGTAATAGGTTCTTTATGGGAGATGCAAAATAGCAGCTCCAGGATGGCCAAAACCATGGCCTCATTTTCTCCCCTGGTCAGGAAAAAACCCAGCCCCATAACCCACTGTGTTCTTTGCATTCTCATCTAAAGCATTTTTTATTTCAAGCAGGTGAACGTCCAGGACTTTGACTTCCTTATCTCTTAATCAAATGGTGTTTTGCCCTTCAGTAGCCAGATAATTCCTCCAACTCTCAGTATGGTAGATATGGTCTCTTACACAGACCATCTTATTCTTCTAGTGCCACCTCCCACCCCATACTATAAGTGTGTGTGTTATAGATTTGGTATACTGGTTGATAAAAGTGATTCTATAAAACACTCATGGCTAAGCCTGTTTCTCTAAGGTGACTCGTGAAAATATCACCAGTTTCCGACTTGCAATAATAACAAGAGAGTCAGATAGTTGACTTTGTGGTGATTCTGGTTGTGGTCTTGTTGCAGGGGAATCCTGGGTCTACAGGACCAAAGGGTTCTAAAGGAAAAGCTGGGCCACCAGGAAGGAAGGTAAATGTTAGAGAACACACTTTTCCTTGACTGTGACTTGGAGGAACTGCCTGGGTTTCCTTAATGAGCCTCTCCTTAGGTGTCCATGTCCAGCATGAATTTCTGATGTGGTTGGTAATGATATTGACTGCCCTTTATATTGTAGCTGGGTAGATGGCTACAGAGAAGAAAAGACACATAGACAAACACACATATAGAAAGACAAAGGGCTTGATCTATGTATCGTCACATATGTAGGTAGACAATAAGAAGCTCTGGTGATATAGTGGTTAAGGCATTTGGCTGCTAACCACAAGGTCAGTGGTTTGTACCCACCAGCCACTCCATGAAAGAAAGATGGGGCAGTTTGCTTCCATAAAGATTTACAGCCTTGGAAACCCAATGAGAATTGCCATGAATCAGAACAGACTCTATGGAAGTAAGTTTTTTTTTTTTTTTTTTTAAATATAGGTAGACAAAGGTCAATGGATAGATAGGTAGATACAAATATAGATTCACACACATAGACCTGGAAAAAGCCCTTTTCATATAAAATTCTGTAGCTGGTGCTGCATCCTGGTTTTGCTCATTTTCAACATCAAAATCTTTATTGTATTTGTTAGTTGTAGTAGTTGCCATCCTGTCAACTCCAACTGATAGTGGTGACCTTATGCATAATAGAAGGAAACATTGCTCTTGTGCCAGTTATCTATAAGCTAATTTTCAGAAGTAGATTACCTGGCCTTTCTTCCTAGTCTGTCTTAGTCTGAAGTCTCTGCTAAAACCTGTCCACCATGGGTGACTCTACTGGTATTTGAAACACCCATGGCATAGTTTCCAGCATTATGCAACATGCAAGTCATCACCACATGACATTTGCTATCTGTATTTAACAAAATCTAGCACAAGATATTTTATCTGAGACTGTGTGATGGTATTAATAGGACTTGAAAAGAATGAGTGTACAATCTTTAAGTAAAATGACATAAAATTGCATTAACTCATAGGAGGAAATTAATTTCCTCTGTATGCATTTTTTTAAAAGGGAAAGTCTGGTGAACCAGGAGAAGAAGGCCCACGGGGACCACAAGGACTGAGAGGGCAGCCTGTAAGTCTAGTTTTACTGCTTTGGACTCTTGACTGAGTTTATTGATTGTTATTTGTTTCTTTTTTCATGTTATATTATAATTTTTTTTATTAATAATAGGATGAATTAAACTTGGGGCTACAAATATGACATGATCATTAATATGTTATATATATCTTTACAAGAATAAAAAAAAGAAAAAATTAAATGAGACAAAGATTCTTAAACTTCTAATATAAATAAGGAACCCAAAGATGTCTTAAGATTTATTTTGCCTTCTCATGTGTTTTGAAGACGGAAGTGCCAATGAGCAACTTCTGTTTGACAAAGATACTTTACAAGCATTGCACCTTTTAGAAATACAGAGATGTTCCATAAAACAATTTTTTTTCAAAGGCATCAAATAAGATAGTACAGGTTTATGGGTACAGGTTTGAGTACTCAAATCATAGAAATAATTTTTGAGAACGAGAGACCATAAAACATTCACTTCAATAGATAAAACTTCCAACAACAGGGCTTAGTAGTTTTACCTTGGTCTTTACTCTGAACTTAAGAGCAAGTAAGTCATTTTATGAATATGTTCAATTTACTACTTTCTTGGCATTAACTTTATGAGGCAGAGTCCTGTTGACTTTCCTGCAGCTCATGTTTCAGGGAGAGATTTCTGAATCTGAGAAGAACCTGAAGTTTTTGCACTCAGCACTGAAACAGCATTTGCTAGCAAGGAGAGAAAACAAAAACAGACTGAAGAAACTTAAAACTTAATGTAGAAAGGACAAGAGCAGAATAGGATTACTACTGAATGGAATATGGGACAAGTTATGTTTTTCATCTACGGTCTGAAAATTCAGATGGTGGCTTTGACACTTTGTTTGAGTTCATTGACATTTCTTGATTTAAAATAATGCAAACTCAGTTTGCATTTAACTCTCCCCGGGACAGACATCTGAGGAGGCATGCTTTCTTGAAATAATCACCTCCAAAAAACACAGTTTGGGTCTCTGGGGTGGCAGATGCTGGAGGCTCTGCATGTCCTTCAGCAGGGAAAAGATTGAGTAACAGCAAATGAGTCTTATCCTCATCCTTTTATTCTAAAGAACTCATTTTCGGCTCTTTTAGCCCAGGTAAACTGAAGGTTCTCCTGGATTACCTACTCTCTTTTCTTTATTTCTTTTTTAACATTTCAAACTTTGCTCCTCAAGCTATAGGAATTTTTTTTTTTGGGGGGGTGGCTTAAATTTCTAATTTTTCTTTTTGATTTAGGTGCAGTCTTTATTTGTCCAGAAAAAAAGCACATGAAATATTCTGACTTTATTGTACAGGAAGCTCATTTTCTGAATGTTCAGGTGCTAAGATCCCCAGTAGTATCATCAGCTTGTTCATAATTTCTATCAAAATTACCACCACTACCACAACTATCCCTACCACTATCACTGTCACTACAGTCATTATGACCACTGCCACCATTGTCACTCATACAAACCAGTGTTGGAACTGGAATAAAAATTCAGGTCTGTCTGCGCTTATAGCCTGTGCACTTAACCACTGCACTACTGCCTCTGTATCAATCTTTCCCCAAAGTCTATCTTTATCCCTGGAGATTTACTAATTCTAAACCAACATCTATTATTACTTTGTTCCATGTTAAACAACAACAGCAACAACAAAACCCATTGCCATCAAATCAATTCCAACTCCTAATGACCCTACATTACAGAGTAGAACTGTCCCATAGAGTTTCCAAGCCTAGAAATCTTTACAGAAGCAGACTGCCTCATCTTTCTCCTGTGAAACAGCTGGTGGTTCAAACCACCAAATTTTTGGTTAGCAGCCAAATGCTTTAACCACTGCACCACCAGAGCTCCCTTTTGTCTCATAGGGAAAGCAAATTTAGACCAAAGGAAACTTTGTGCAGTAATGTGTCTTTCTGAAACTGTAGTATTGAAGCCAGACAAAGTGGGTCCCTGCCTAGTGCACTGCAAGGCCAAGAGACAGAACATACCATATTTTGATGATAGAGAAAGTTGACTTATTACTATGCACAGGATAAGGAGACAAGGGCTTCCCAAATCTGATTCCCTGTGTGGGGGTTAGGGTACTCCTTTATGAGATTCGAAAAGGGGTAAGTAATACATATAAATTCCAGGAATTTGGGTGTGAATTCTCTGGGGATTGGCTAAAGTTTTGTTCCTCTTGATTTAAAAGGACAGTCCATTTTTAATGGAGTGAACTTGCATGCTGGATGAGTTACACCAACTTTCTGTCATCCGTGGATCCAAGCTTAGGCAGAGGGGGAGATATTGGTTCTGAGCAACTTCATTGGTTTCTCCCAGTGAGCATGTCCGCAGACCAAAATTGGTCTGAGCTGGTTACCACTCTGGCCTTGCTCTGCTGGAAGGTCTGGGATTTCCCTGAAAGATAAACCAACAAAGCAGCTAAGCAAGGGGCATGGGATAGCCTAGATAAAAAACAGAAATGGCTTCAGTATCTTGCTAACATATAAAACTAAAAAATCCAAACTCACTGCTGTTGAGTCGGCTCCAACTTATAGCGACCCCTCCTTGGGTTTCCGAGGCAGTATCACTATGGAAGTAGACTGCCCAACCTTCCTTCCAAGGAATGACTGGTGGGTTTGAATCTCTAGCCTTCTGGTTAGCAGTCAAGTGTCTTAGGCACTATAAGACCTTATTAAAGAGGGGCTAAAATAATAATTTAAACAGTTTACATGTTTCATGGCTTTTTAAATTTTTACACCCTGTCACCTCCTAATATGAGTTGCATCCTATAGTCTCCCAACCTCTGCCCTCATTCTCTATTCCTTACCTCTTGGCACTGCTGATTTAGCCAATGGTTCAGCTAACATTATCAACCCATCTTAGTGGAAAATACTAGACGGGCACTCTGCTAGAAATTAAAAGAAAAAAAATTATTTAAGGAATAAAACAATCTTGAAATGAGTGATATTTACAGACATCCATGCCAGGTGTTAAAATGCTCCAAATTGCAGGGAGAACAGTAAGGTTTAAAAGAATTTGTGCTCACAGACAGGCAGAAGTGGAGAAGAAGCATGACAAACGCTACAAACTTAAACATCATCAGCAAGTTTATCTGTTGCATCCTGAAGTTGTTTATATCCTGAGGGTTAGTACATCCTGAGAATGGTTTAACAAAGCATTCATCCAGGGGTTAATTTTCTGTCACATCCAAAATCTGCTTCCTTATTTTAGTTACATATTTAAGGAGCTCTGATAGTGTAGTGGTTAAGGCATTTGGCTGCTAACCAAAACGTCAGTGGTTTGAACCCAGCGGCTACCCCATGGGGGAAAGATGAAGCAATCTGCTTCTGTAAGGATTTATGTCCTTGGAAACCCAATGAGGGTCACTATGAGTAGGAATCAACACGATGGCAATGAGTTTACTTTTTTTGGAGTTTTTTTAATTATTTATTTTTATTTATATTTTATTATTTATTTACAAAGGACTAGTAGACACAGTGGGGAGTCCTAGTGACTGAGAAAATCATTGGGACTAAGGCTTGATATGTGTTTATCTTACCTACAAAGTTATTTATAAGGTCTGACATTATTTCATTGAACATTATCAGTTCTGTTTTTCAACCTCCTGCTGACCAAGGCCCCTTCTCTGGGGCCAGCTGGAAACACTGACAGACACTAAGTAAGTAACTGTCTAGGTTAGAAACAACAACAGTAAAACTTTGGCAGAAAAGGCTGAATGATTTCTTTAGAAAAGCAGAAATTCAAAATGGAGTTTTAATTTAGCCTGAAGGCATCCAGTTCAGATACGTCAGTACCTCAAGTTTTTAAGATACAGTCCACAAAACCACCTCTTGATCTGGCCCGTTCTACATTTCACTTGTGTCATTTTCTCAGGGTCTTCGTGGTCCAGATGGATATGGAAGGCCAGGAAGAAAAGGAGTGAAGGTGAGGCCAAAAGGGTCACTTACAAGGTATTCTTAACTAAGGCCTATAGTTTTAATTTTAATTTATTAAGATAGGAATTATTTTCCAAGTGGTGTGACAAGAATGGTTCCTACATACTTACAACATGTAGGACCTACTGCCATAGTTCCTTCCCTAAAAAAATAAAGCGGATCTTGTCACTCACTGCCTTATTTAAATCAAACTCCTTACCTCATCTTCCACCATGCCAGATCTTCCCACCCCAGCTCTGGGCATGCCAGGCCATTTCCTTTGCAAACCCTTGCTCTATTTGTTATGCTCTTCCCCATCTCCTTCTCTTGGACGATTTTAACTCATCTTTTACGAACAACTCAAATATCATCTTCTCCTTGAGTAAATAAACCTTCTTGGACTTCCCTAGAGAGGATGTGTTGCGTCATCCTAAAGCACATTGTTCGTATATCTGAAATAGCTTCTTCCAGGTAGATTGTGCTATAAGGCTATACATGTCTACTCCCTATTCTGTGAACCTCTTGAGAGCAGGATTGCATCTTACTCATTTTTAGGAACAGAGCATGACATGCAGTAGGTGTTCAATAAATGTATATTTGAATGAATGACTGGGGTTCTCATAAGAAGCTGGTATTTTAACCTGTACTTAATGGATCACTGTCAGAAGTTTGGAAGCATGGAAGTCATGTAAAGCATGTTGCATAGATCAAATGTCAATAGTCTGTTACTCTGAATACCTTAGTCTGCAAGTTACATTTATTACTTCACAAAATAAGAAATCACTGGGAAGTGCAACTACTTGACTGTGTCAGATTTCTGGACTGGCTTCTCTGCAATTCTTTTTTATTTTGTGTTTGCAATATGGCACCATTGCCATTTTATTGAGCAGGAAAATGCCCAAAACATAGTAAGCCTTGGTAAATATCTGTGCAATGATGGAGCTATGTGGGACCTTAATGATCGTTTAATACAGACTTGTCCATTTATGGATGAGAAAATCAAGGTCAGAGAAGTGAAATAACTTGCCTATAGTGACACAACTAATTAGAGACAGAACTGAGTAGCTAGCTCATTAGAACCCCATCTTCTCTCCCTATGGAGAGAGTCAGCATGCCAGGGAAGTTTTGGGTAGAATTATAATGTGAATTTTTTAAGTCACTTACCAGCTCTGAACTAAGCAAAAAGCAGTGATACACAGTTTAAATTGTGGAACACATGGATATGTGGATTTTCCTGACAAGATACAATGGTCTCACTTACATGGCCCTTACTGTTGTTTTCCACTTTCCACCCCACCCTCTCCCTGACTACTTATCCCTAGTCTATTCATTTACTCCCTCTGCACTCATCAAATCTTTTTCCTCAAATCTCCAAGACCTGTTTTCTATTGCACTTTCAGCCAATAATCATGCTTCCTATATAAATAAGAAAGTAGCAGTAATGAGAAGAGAACCTCCACATACTCTCACCAAGTAGGTCGGCCTACTTGTCTGTGTACCCATATCCTTGCCTTACTATGTATGGGAATCCATGCTCCTATTTAAAACGGAACCCTCTTTTCATGGATTGGATTTCATTCCCTTTTACTTCCTCAAGATCCAGGCTTCTCAAGATATAGTCTTCCTTTTCTGCATATTCAAATTTTCTTCCCTCTCTATAGATTATTGTATCAGTGTACAAAGAGATGGGAATATCTTCCATCTTTAGAAAACCATAATGTCATTCCCCTCCCTACATAGCCTCCTCTCTCTGCACTTCTCTGGCAAAACTCTTTGAAGAAGGTGTCTATATCATTGATTCTCAAGCAGGGGCAATTTTGCCCTTACCTTCACCACAAGGAGCTCTGGTAGCATAGTGCCTAAGGCACTTGACTGCTAACCAGAAGGCTGGTGGTTCAAACTCATCAGCCACTCCTCAGAAGGAAGGTTGAGCAATCTACTTCGGTAGTGATACTGCCTCGGAAACCCAAGGAAGGATCACTATGAGTTGGGGCTGACTCCATGGCACGTAACAGCAACAACAGCAACAAATTTCACCCCCAGGGAACATTGGCAATGTTTGAAGACAGTTTGGCTGTCACAGTTGTGGGAGGGGGGTACTAGTGGCATCTAGTGTGTAGAGAGCAGAGATATTGCTTAACATTCTACGGTGCACAGAAGAGCCCCCACAACAAGGAATCGTCAGTTCCAAATGTCAACAGTGCCATGGTTGAGAAACTCTACCTTCTTTCCTCAGATTCTGAGCTGACCTCAACTGAATTTTCATGCCACCTTCACTCCACCCTCCATGCCTTAGTAGAGGTCACTGATGACCCATGTTGCTATTCCCAATGGTCATTTCACTGTCCTTGTCTTACTCTATCTCTCAGCAGTATTTGAGAAAGGTGATCATGGGCTTGTTCTTGAAAACTTTTCTGACTCAACTTGCAGTACAACTCACTTCCCTGGTTTTCTTTCTTTCTTTTTTAATTTTATTTTATTGTGATTTGGGTGAAGGTTTACAGAGCAAATTCACTTTCCATACAGCAGTTCATATACGCTTTGTCTCATGACATTGACCACAGTTTACCACAATGCAACAGCTCCCCTCCCACCTCCTCCCCACAGTTACCTCTTCCCAGTGTCCATCCCTCCATGGGCCTTGTCCCCTGAGCTGTCTCCCTGTGCATAAGCAGCCCTTCTTTCTCCCATGATTGTTCTCTCCAAGGAGTGTATCTACTTGAGGTAAATGTTCAACTCATATGCCTGTCTTTTGTTTGGCTGGAAACCACAGGTGTGGGTTCAATTCCAGACCCAAAGGGCAGCTAGGGGCCGTAGTCTCAGTGGTTCCACCAGGCTCTATAGGACCAGCAAACCTGGTCCCCCCCTTTTTTTCCTCCAATGATTTTGAGTTTTGTTCCACATTGGTCTCCCTCTCTATCAAGGATCTCCTACATAGATCCCCTTTCAAGTGGAAGACAGTGGTAGCCAGGCACCATCTAGTTCTTCTGGTCTCATAGTTGTATAGGCTGCAGATCAGATGGTGTACCAGTTGCTAGGACTAATTGTTTCCATGAATTTTGGTTTTCTTCATTCTTCTTTGCTCTGGATGAGGAGAGACCCATAGTTGCATCTAGATGGCAGCTTACTAGCTTTTAAGATCCCAGTCGCTACTTGCCAAGGTAGGAGGTGGAACAATGTTTTGTGTAGTATGTTATGCCAATTGAGTTTGATGACCCCTGTGACTAAGGTCCCAAGCCCACAGGTTCAACTATTCAATCTCTCTGGGTAGCTGGCTGTGACCAAGCAGTGACCACAACCTTGCCCCTTGTCAGCTCTACTATACACCTGGGAATTCTGATCATTCACATAAACTTATAGGATCATTGTCTGCCAACCCTATATATGTACTTGGATACACTCCCCATTTCATAGACATACCTAATCGTACAGCCTGTCTACCCATCTATCCATCCATATACCCATGTTTGCCTTCATTGACAATGCAGTACTATATGTGTAAAAGGGTTCATATTTGTTGTCTGTAGCTCCCATGTACCTCTCTGCATCTTTCTCATCCTCAATGCTGTCATATTGGTCACTTCCCTGGTTTTCATTGGCTATGCTTTCTCAGTCTCCCTTGGTGGATCTTCAGCATCCCATTGACCACTAAATATTAGAAGACTTGAGGACACTCTGCTCACATTTCTTTCTCTCGTTACCCACTCCTCAGCGAGTAAAGACTTCATCCAATTATATGGCATTAAATAGCATCTATCTTGTGATTTCCCATTTATTGCTCCAGCTTGGACTAATCACCTAAACTCTAAATATGCATCCACTTAGTTACCTGCCAGGAATCTTAAAATTAACATATTCTGGAATAGTTTTCTTTCTCCTCCCCTTCTTTCTCTTCTCTCTCTGTTAACTGTTTACTATGGGAAAAGTCAAGACCATGTACAGACTAGAAGAGACTCTGCACCCCACCCCACACCCATGTACCCACACCTAGCTTCAACAATGAAAACTTTGGCCATTTTTTTTTTTTTCATTTATAGTCCCATCCACTTACTTCCCGTCCCACCCCCAACCCCCAGATTGCAAATCCTACATTAAGTATCATTTCATCCACAAATATTTCACGTTGTACTTCTGGTGAGAATCTTTAAAACCATAACCACAATACCATTATCACATCTAAGAATTAACAATAATTCCTTAATATCATCCAACCAAAATCCACTGCCATCATATTGATTGTGACTCATAGCAACTCTTTTGGACAGAGACTATAAATCTTTACAAAAAGGCTATAAATCTTTACAAAAGCAGACTGCCTCATCGTTCTCCCATAGAGCAGCTGGTGGGTTCAAACTGCCAACTTTTTGGTTAGCAGCCTAATGCTTTAACCACTACACAACCAGAGCTCTTCCTTTAACACCATCCAGTCTATCACTACTGATTCCCCTGGCAGCCTGCCCTCCTCTAGACTTCCCCATCTCAGAGAGTCTCTCAGGGTACATACTTGCAGCCATCTTTGATTCCTCTCTTACATGTAATCCATCAGCAAACACTGGTGATTCTGTTTTCAAAGTATATCTAGATTTCCTCATTTCTCACCATCACCACTGCCACCCTCTGGGACAAGCCAACAATGTTTTTCACCTGGATTATTGCAATAGCCATTTAACTGGTTTCCATGATTATGCCTTGACCTCATATAGTTAATTTTCCACACAACAGCCAGAATGATCTTTTATAAACATAGTCAGATAATGCTATTTCTTTATTCAGAGTTCTGCCATGGTTCCCCATGTCACTTAGAATAACCACACTGTTAACATGGTCTACAAGCCCTTATACAATCTGGTGTCTCTGTTAACTCTCAAACTCCTCTCTTAACTGTCCCCACCCCAATTTTGCTTCAGTGTTCCTCAAGCATGCTATACATTCTTTCTCTTGACTCAGGGTTTTTGTACATATTCTCCTCTGCCTGGAATACTGTTCTTCTGGATATTTCCTTGGCTTGCTTCCTCAGTTCATGGGGATCTTTGCCCAAATGCCACCTTTTCAAAGAGACCATCCCTGACTACCTTATACAAAATAGCCCCCTTGTCATCCACCTTATCTTTATCCCTCTCTGGAATAGTATTTATCTCTCCCTGATGTATATATTTCTGTGAGCACTCTCAAACTTTCCCTCTAGCAGTTAAGTTCTATGGCAGTAGGGACTTTGTCACAGTGCCTAAGGCATTTGACTGCTAACCAAAAGGTTGGCAGTTCAAACCCCGGGGAAGTAAGATGGGGGAAATCTACTGTAAAGATTTACTGCCTGGGGAACCCAATGGGGGTTGCTATGAGTTGGAATCGATTTGATGGCAGTGGGTTTGTTTTGGTTTAGTGAAGTGCCTGGCACGTAGCAGATGCTTAGTAAATATTTACTGAATGAATGGTTGCTTTTTCTGATGTTAACTTGTGTTTTATTGACTGTGCAAAAGCATTCAAGTGTGTGGATCATAACAAATTATAGACAACATTGAGAAGAACGGGAATTCCAGAACACTTAATTGTGCTCACAAGGAACCTGCACTTAAACAAGGAGGCTATTGTTTGAACAAAACAAGTACAGAACTGCAGTAGTTTCGTCCACTCTGGCCTCCTTGCATTTTGTCTTGTTCTGTTAATTGCAAATAAGTTGGAGCCAACTCATGGTGACCCCATGTATAAGAGAACAAAGTGTTGCCCGGTTCTGAACCATCTCCATGATCATTAGCATGTTTGAGTCCATTGTTGCAGCTATTATGTCAAAACATCTCACTGAGGGTTTCCCTTGATTTGATGACTCTCTGTTTTACCAAACATAATATCCTCTTCATCTCCCCTTACTTTCCTCCAAACATTGCCTTCAGAGCAGCCAGAGGAATCTGTTCAAAGCAAAGGTTGGCTCTTTCATTGCCCTGCATGAAACCCTTCAGTGGATCCCCACTGATTCAAATCCTTAACCAGTTCCTTCCTCTCCCCAAACTCATCCTACCACTGTCCTTCTGGGCCATTGCACTCCCATCCCCATGGCCCCCTGCTCCATGTCAGGGTCTTGCTCTCCTTATCCCTCTACCTGGCACTGTTCTTGCTCTGGGCTTCTGGCATCACTAACACTTCATCTTCCTTCAGGCCTCAGCTTAAATGTCTCAGCTCAGAGATGCCCATGGCTTCTCTTTCTCCCTTAGTCATCATCATCTCTGAAGTCATCTTGCTTACTGATTTGATCTGTTAATTGTCTGTCTCTTGGTTACACACACATGCTCCACAAAGATAGAGAATTTGTCTTTCTCATCATCCCATCCCCATGACAGGAGAAGAACCTAGCAAATAGCAGATTTTTAATAAATGTGCATGTACTGAAATTAATAAGAGCTAAGTTGAGACACCAGTTAGTATTGAGTCAATTTTGACTAATGGTGACCACACTTGTGTCAAAGTAAAGTGGTGCTCCATAGGGCTTTCAGTAGCTGATTTTTTCCACCAGGCCTTTCTTTTGAGGTTGTTGTTGTTGTTAGGTGCTGTCGAGTCATCTCCAACTCATAGTGACCTTATGTACAACAGAACGAAGCACTTACCCGGTCCTGTGCCAGCCTCACTATCGCTACTATATTTGAGCCCATCGCTGCAGCCACTGTGTCTGTCCATCTCATCGAGGGCCTTCCCCTCCTGCATTGACCCTCCACTTTACCAAGCTTGACATCCTTCTCCAGAGAATGGTCTCTTCTGACAACATGACCAAAGGAGGTGAGACGAAGTCTGGCCATTCTCACTTCCAAGGAGCATTCCAGCTACACTTCTTCTAGGACAGATTTGTTTGTCCTTTTAGCAGTCCACAGCACTTTCAGCATTCTTTGCCAACACCACAACTCAAAAGCATCAACTTTTCTTTGATCTTCTTTATTCATTGTCCAGCTTTCACGTGCATATGAGGCAATTGAAAATACCATGGCGTGGCGTAGGTGCACCCTACTTTCCAAGGAGATATCTTTGCTCTTCAGCACTTGATAGAGGTCTTTTGAAGCATATTTGTCTGCTGCTATAGGAGCTCTGGTAGGGTAGTGCCTAAGGCACTTGACTGGTAACCAGAAGGCTGGCGGTTCAAACCCACCAGCCACTCCTTGGAAGGAAGGTTGGGCAATCTACTTCGGTAGTGATACTGCCTCAGAAACCCAAGGAGGGGTCGCTATGAGTCGAGTCCAACTCCACAGCACATAACAACAACATAGTTGTCTGATGTCTTGACTGCTGCTTCCATTGGTGTTGATTGTAGAACCAAGTAATATGAGGTCTTTGACAACTTCAATCTTTTCTCCATCTATCATGATGCTACTTATTGGTCCAGTGGTGAGGATTTTTGTTTTCTTTATGTTGAGGTGTAATCCATACTGTAGACTGTGGTCCTTAATTTTCATCAGTAAGTGCTCTAAGTCATCCTCACTTTTAGGAAGCAAAGTTGAGTTGTCTGTGTATTGCTGGTTGTTAATGAGCCTTCCTCCAATCCTGATGCCACATTCTTCATATAGTCCAGCTTCTCGGATTATTTGCTCAGCATACAAGTTGAATAAGTATGGTAAAAGGATACAACCTTGATGCACTCCCTTCAGATTTTAAACCATACAGTATCCCCTTGTTGTGTTTGAATGACAGCTTCCTGGTCTATGTACAGGTTCCTCATGAATACAATTAAGTGTTCTGGAATTGCCGTTGTTCTCAAAGTTATCCTCAATTTGTTATGATCCATGCAATTGAATGCTTTTGCATAGTCAATAAAACACAAACATCTTTCTGGTATTCTTTGCTTTGAGCCAAGCTCCATCTGACATCAGCTATGATTTCCCTTGCTCCACATCCCCTTCTGAATCCAGCTGGTATTACTGGAAGTTCTCTGTCAATATACTGCTGCAAGTGTTTTTAAATGATCTTTAGTAAGATTTTACTTGTGTGTGATATCAATGATATTATTTGATAATGTCCACCTTCTGTGGGATCACCTTTCTTTGGAATGGGTACAAGTCTTCCAGTCAGTTGGCCAGGTAACTGTCTTCGAAATCTCTTGGCATAACTGAGTGAGTGCTTCCAGCCCTGCATCTGTTTGTTGAAACATCTCAGTGCATATTCCATCAATTCCTGAAGGCTTGTTTTTTTTTGCCACTTCCTTCAGTGCAGCCTCGACTTCTTCCTTCAATACCATTGGTTCTTGATCATATGCCACCTCCTGAAATGGATGATCATCTACCAATTCTTTTTGGTATTGTGACTGTGTGTTCCATCCATCTTCTTTTGATGTTTCCTGCATCATTTAACATATTGCCCATGGAATCTTTCAATATTGCAATTTGAGGCTTAATTTTTGTCCTCAGTTCTTTCAGCTTGAGAAATACCAGCTTGGTTTTCTAACTTCAACTCTTGGTACATTTCACATTTCTTGACACATTTCACATAGTTACTTCTGGGTAACTAGAACTTCCAGCCTTTCTGTTACCAGTAAAGTGAGTTTACTGTTTGCACCACCCAGGGACTAAACCAGTTGCCATTAAGCTCATTCTCATTCATGTTAACCCCATGTGTGTCAAAGTAGAACTGTGCACTATAGTTTCAGTGGTTGAGACAGAGTTTAGTGGTAGACATCTAGCCTCATGCAAGAGACCTGGGATTTGATCCCCACTCAATGCATGTCTGTCAGTAGAGGTTTGTGTGTTGCTATGATGATGAACAAGTTTCAGCAGAGCTTCTAAACTAAAACGGACTAGGAAGAAAGGCTTGGTGATCTGCTTCCAAAAATTAGCCAGTGAAAACCCTATAGATCACAATGGTCCAATCACAACTGATCACGGGCATGCTGCAGAACCAGACAGCATTTCTGAATGAATGGTTGCTTTGTAAGATGCTTTTAGGTTTCACAGGAGCTCTGGTGGTGTAGTGCCTAGGGCATTTGACTGCTAACCAGAAGGCTGATGGTTCAAATCCAGCAGCCCCTCAGCGGAAAGAAAATAGGGTAATTTATTTCCATAAAGATTTACTGCCTCAGAAACCCAGTGGGGGTCGCTGTGAGAATCAACTTGATGGCAGTGGGTTTGTTTTTCTTCTTCTTTTTTTTTGGGGGGGGGGTTTTGGCAATGAGCACCTGCTTCTCAATAGTGAATTGCTGCTTTCTCCCTGGGATCAGATCTCAAATGATTTAAACTGATAGATAAAAATGGCTAAGAAGGAAGTTTCATTGCACAACATATCAAGGAGAGGACAAAGTTTGTAAAAAAGTCTTTTGCAAATTGTTTCATGTTGAATCAGATAAATGAAATATAACCCCTTGAGAATAATTCAATATAATAACTGTTGCTGTCGTTGTTTTTCTGGCACCTGTTTTGAGTCTATTTCTAAAAAATGATAGTTTCTTCCTTTTCCCTCAGGAATGTTAATGAAAGACTTACTCACATGACATTAAATAATGCCTCATATCATTTCTGACACCAGGGCAAACATGGATTTCCTGGCTATCCTGGTGCACAAGTAAGAAGAGATCTTTTTGGACCTGTCAACTGGTATGCAGCATTTATCACTTGCTTGTACTTATTTTTCTTTTCATTCAAGAGTCTGCTTTTGATTCTATTAAGGGAGAAGATGGTGACCGAGGCCACAGAGGAGAGAAGGGGGCAAAGGGAATCAGAGGGAAGAGGGTAAGAGGCAAAGAAATTTCCTAGCATTTGTAGATGCCCACATCACAACATTCTACTCACAGGTGCACATTTCCATTGGGTTAATGGATGTCTTAGCAGGAAGCTTATGTCCTCCTCAGTCAGTACACATTCCACACTTTCCTTGGACTACTCCCACCCTCTACTTAATGCCATTCTCCATTATTTTCTGAATATAAATGTAGCTCACTAAACTATAATAACACAAATTTCAATTTGGAGTTTCAGTTATTCAAATTTTAAAAACAAATTTGAGGCACCTCTGTCTTAGGTAAGTCTACATATCACTTGGAAGGGTATTCTTTTAGCTGCAAAACAAATATTGATGTTTCTTGAAAATTCTTCCGAGCCTTAAGTTTCTCTTAGCTATTTGAGGACTAGAGTCTCAAGACTGTGGCTTCCATCTTGGTGGACTTGAAATTGCTGTGTTTTATTGAGTCTACCATTAAAAATTCATTTCTTTAGGTCCTGAAGATTCAGGATAAAGGAGCCACAATCACCAGCAGCTCTTTTTGGGAAGAGTAACCCTGTGGATATCTAATACCGTGGTGGTTCACTGATAGATGTGAGAGAATAAAAGCCTCTGGGAAGAGGACAGGGACTAGTATACAGTGAAGAAAAAAGTAAAGGGAAGAGAATATGTATTTTCCAGCCATTCAATAGTTGATATTTTTATACATTGGCAAGGACATAAAACTGATCTACTTCCAATGTGGGTCCTGCTAACTACTGTTGCCCATCTCAGCTAAAGTTACCATTCTGGTTTTGAATAAAGAAGAGAAAGTATCAATTACATCCAGATAATGCCATGCCATTTGAAATATCTGTAAAATGAACAGTGAACTTATGGCTAGCATGTGATTTTTCTGATTTAATGACAATTTGGGATCTAAAGGTGGATCTTTTGGGCAGTTGGTCTGAAATCATCAAGTTGAAATCAAGGAGAAGCTCACAACTTGGTTTGGTTATTTTTAGGGTAATGCTGGCTTTCCTGGGTTTGCTGGAACTCCAGGGGAGCAAGGCCCACCAGGAAAAATGGTAACATGTACTCTTTTTTTTTTTTCCAACCTTTGTGTAAAAATGCATAAGGATTTGATAAAATACATCTCCATGTAGAAATTAACATTTGATACAGACAAGAGAATCTATGTGGGAAATGGGCCAAACTGGCTTTAGAAAAGAGAACATTAGCTTCAAATCCTTACATAATATCTTTATCCAGTATGTATTTTTTACTTGAACTTGAGAAAGACAAAGGAGTGGCTAGAGATTTATGAATCAATCTAAATACATAAAACCACTAGAGAGCAGATTTATCAAAATAAACAAGATCAGGAAAAACAGTTATGCAGAAACCAGAAGAAAATCCTTATAAAATTTTACATTTATGTATTATTACTGAACTAACAATGTTGTAAGCTTACAAATATTTTTAAAGTGTCCTGGAAGGTCATTTGTTATGAAAGGGAAGACTTTGAGGTTACTATTGGTCTGCCCCATGCCTTTTCCTAGGGGGCCAGATTGCCATTCCACAAGGCATGGCACAGTGGGTCTGCCATGGGGTGGGCCTGGTGTTTTCACTGCTGTCTAGTTTGCTCGAGAGTTGTAACAAAGTCATAGAATCAAAAACCTTAGAGATAGAAGGACAATGCGTGCCCACTTTATAGAGAAGAGAAAGACTGAGAAGATTATAGTGACCTGCCTAAAGTCACATATTCATATTTAGGAGGGTCTGAAGTAATAGAAAACAAAGATGTCACTTTGATGACTAAGCCATAGTCTTTTCAATTGCCTCATATGTGTGTGAAAGCTGGACAATGAATAAAGATCAAAGGAGAATTGACACATTTAAATTGGTGTTGGTGAAGAATATGGAATATACACCATGAATTGCCAGAAGAAACAACAAATCTGTCTTGGAGGAAGTACAGCCAGAATGCTCCTTAGAAATGTTTTGCTTACCTTGGACACATCACCAGGAAAGACCAGTCTCTAGGAAAGGACGTCATGTTTGGTAAAGTTTATATGGATCAGCAAAAATGAGGGAAACTCTCCATAAGACAGATTTTTTTTTTGTTTAATCTGAAGAATGATGGCAAAAATGAAACAAATATGTGGCTCAGTCCTGCTGTTTGCTATATAGCATCATTTTCCTTAACTATCTTTTAATTATTATTATTATTCTGGTAAAAATATTTATTGTTTCATAATGTTTTGCATATACAATTCATTGACCTTAATTACATTCCTTATGTTGTACAATGTCACCACTATTCATTTCCAGATTTTCCCATTATCATTAACACAGCAGTTACCCCCTAAGCAATGACTTACTCTTTCTTTCTCCCTCCCACCTCTGGTAATTACCAATGAACTTTTATCACTGTACATTTGCCTAGTCTAGGTAATTCATGGATGGCAGAGAACTGGGCAGTGTTTTGTTCTGTTGTACATAGTGTTGTTTTGACAGCAGATATTTCATAAAAATGGAATCATACACTTTGTCCTTTTGTGACTGACTTCCATAAGACAGATTGACAGGGTGGCTGCAACAATGGGCTCAAACCTACCAATGATTGTGAGGATGGTGAAGGACCAGGCAGTGTTTCATTCTGTTGTAAGTGAGGTCTCCATGAGTCAGAGTCAACCTGATGACAGCTGACAACAGCAGAGTCTAAAGAAGAACAAAGATCTTTAGACTCTTAAAGGGGCTGGAGGCACACATCTCTAACCTGAAGTGCACCAGGGAAAACTTGTTCAGTACTAAAGCAGGGACAGGGAATGGTAGAAGGTACCCTTAGGAGAAATGATGGAGGAGGGACTGTGGTCTACTTTAGAACTGCCTATAAATGATCCTGGGATGTTGAGTGGCCTTTTTCCTGAATTTGATCCAAAATTGTGGCTTGGTCCCAAGATGAGCTGGTCTTTTAAGAGTTTCTATGTATTATCTACCTGAGCCTCCTGAACTCCAAAGTCTGGAAGACAAACCTTGGCACTTTGGCCTCTTTCCTTAAGGGGTTAGCTAGAACTCCTGAGCTATGAATGAAAGGTAGAAAGTGGGCTATGTACTGTGTTGAACTTTCTCAGAATCTCTTGCCACCTCTGCAGAAGAATGTTTTGGACCTCAAAATCTAATTTCAAACCCAAGTTTCTGTTTTTTTTCCAGGGTGTCAAGTCCCCAAAAGGTTTGGTAGAGATGATGGTAGGTGAAGATTTTAATTATGAACTTTATTCTTTTCAGAGCATAAAGATTTTCACAAAAGAGAAATCTGCTAGTATTAAAAGATTCTTCATTTTTTTCTCTTATCTAGTCTTTTAGTACTATAAATTTATACACTTTACTCTGAAATATCATAATTAAATAAAATAAAAATGAGTAGACTAAATATTATTTCAAATCCAGCAGGGAATCTGGAAGATTGGAATGGTATTTCCTCCAAGACAGATTTGTTGACATGAAAGGCAAGACTCTGAGGCTGCCATCTTTCTGCAATCAGGAGCTCTGGTGGTGCAGTGCCTAAGGCATTTGATTGCTAACCAGAAGGCTAGTGGTTTAAGCCCACCAGCTGCTCCATGGAAAGAAGATGGGGCAATGTACTTCTGTAAGATTTACCACCTTGGAAACCGAATGGGGGGTCACTACGAGTCAGAATTGACTTGATGGTAGTGGCTTTAAAACTCAAATATTGCTTATAAAGTATTTATAAACAAGAAATGGTATAGTATAGGCCTCTGTGTCTTATGGCACATCCTGAAAACAATTTCAAAAGTTATGATGGTTTTTCCTCTCCCAAGTGAAAATGGGGCATGGGTGGTGGGGGCACCTGAAGAACAGAAAGTAGTGGGACCAAGGGAAGAGCAGAGCAGAAAGGAAGAGATCAAAGGAAAGAAGCAGAATTACTAAGGGAAATGTGAGGAGTACCTGACTTGGCAACCATTCTAAAGAAGTGTTACAGGAGTTGCTAATATAGAGGTCCAAGAACTGAAGGCATCGCCTTACTAATTACCTTCTATGGTAAGGTATATGCATCAAAACATCTTCAAAGTCAGGTCTGATTCCAATGTTTTGTGAACAAAAAAAGTAGGTGCCCCTTATCCACTTATGTCCAGTAATATGGACAATGCTATATATAAAATCTTTTTTTTTTTTTTTTAATTAGGATTTGGGTGAAGATTTACAGAGTAAATTCAGTTTTCATACAGCAGTTCACATATACTTTGTCTCATGTCATT